ACACTTGTTGTTGGTGATGTTGTTATGGGACTTGGCAAATTGTCATATTTTTCATTGCAAACAGTTCCAAATGATGTTATTATATTGCATCTGGTTGAACCTTCTTCTATGCATGGTGTTAGTACTACGTCTACGCATGAATCATATGATATAAGTTCGGCAATAACTGCCAATTCCTCCGCTGTAAGTGCTGGAGCTGCTTGTAATTGAGCAGCCGATAGTTTATTCGTTTTCCCTTCGCTGCGTACAAGAGTCATTATTTTACTGCTCCTACATCTAGAGGCACAAAAATCAGCTGCACGAAACAGGATATCGCAGCTTGAATCGCGAGTTCTGCATGACTCTCTGGTAGCTTTCTGAACACTTGCACAACTATTCATTATTGTAAAATAAGCCGTCGTCAGACTCGTACTAGTCCTTGCTGGAAATTGTGTGGTTGGCACGGTTGTTCGTACAAACTGTTGTCTAATGAAATAAGCTGATGATTTTTCTATTAGTGTTATAGAAAGTGAGCTGTATACCAGCAAGAATGTCATGCTGAACATTGTGGATGGTAGAAAACGAGTATTTGAATCAAATTCAATTGGCTGGGCGCTTCTTAGAATAGAACGGTCTTCTCCAATATCTCGAAAGCTAGAATAAAAGTTTTAAATTATATTTTAAACTGCATATACCCTTTAAATTAATTGATGTTTTAAGACAACACAAGAAGACAGTGTTGCTTTACTAATTATCTAATTATTTCAGTGTGAAATTCAATTAAAATACAGCTTAAAATAAGTAGTGGTTGCTTGGCTACGCGTTAATAAAAATGTATTAACATGAGCACACACTGGCCGTTATGCACCAATTACAATAAGCTGCCCGAATAGCAACTACTCTAATTTAATTCAATCGCGAGGCAAATATATTTATACATTGTCGAGGTTTGCTATACGATCTGTAATTGGACCAAACAATTAAAAAGTTGACTGGAATCAAAAATGAATGAAAAATGATTTTGCTAAACCGGAAGTGACACATTGCATTTCGAGGCTGTAGATCTTATTTGTCGACTTCGGGTTTTCTATTTTATGATCTTTGTAAATAGAAATTGAAAAAAAAAATTGTACGTAGGCACTAACTATNCGATCGATCTGACAGTTACCGGATATAGGCTAGACAGAATTCCAATACAAATAAAACTACTTTATCAAAAGTTTAAATTACTCCCGGTTACTTCCGGTTTTTAAAAATCACGTTTAGCAGTGTAATTCACAAATGGTGGACAAAAACCGTACAGATTATCTAAAATAAATAATTTGAATCACTTAAAAAGAAAAAAAACTCTATTTATTATCTGATTTGGTATCTATCAAAACCTTGTTACTTTATTCCAAACTTGTTTGAAACAGAATTAAAGGTGACCTTGACCTTCAATGACCTTGCAATTTTCAGTGTAGAATGACCTTGACTATGCCACATTCTCTAATAAACACAACGGCATGATTTTTCAGATTATCAGTGACCTTAACATTTTCTTTTTAATGATATACTACAATAATACATGAGCACTTTTTGAAAAATTGTAGCTACTTGAAACCTAAATCATTGTAAGTCTATTCCCTGAACCCTCAAAATGTACAATTAGGCACCAAGAAAAATTTTACAGCTGACATAGATCCAGAAATATCAACAATTGCTGATTTTTTATGGTAGCCATTTTAATGTGACAACATTTGTAGCCACTATAAATTTTTGATAGTCGCCATTTTGAAAGTCAATAAGGTGGCAGTTGTAGCTACTTGAAACCTAAATCACTGTATTCCTTGACACTAAAAATGTACAATTAGACACCAAGAACGGGTTTATAGCTGACATAGATCCAGAAATATTTACAATTATAGATATAACAGTATGCCAAATTTGTTGCTTGTATTACAAAATGCACAATGGTTTTAATATGCCGTTGGACTATTATGGTAATGTATAAAATGTAGGCTAGATATTTTTATGCAATATATTAATATGCATAAGTTTTGTTTTTCTTGATCAGTAGCCCGCTCATGTCGATGACGAATTTTACGCCCATATGCGTAACTTTTTTCTCAATTATTCTTTCCAAATGAGAATTTTGAGATGACATTTCTGGATTGTAATTATATAATTGATTTATTTATCTATCAGATAACCGAAAGTTTTAAACGGGATAAGTCATGGAATAAGGTCTCGTTGCCACATTCTAGTTTAATAATTGGTATGTACCTAAACAATTATCTTAAAATGCATTTAAATATAAGCTAAATTAATTCTAAATTTTAGTTTTATTTGTAAATTTGTCAATTCATTCTTAACAGACCAATGACCCGTATGTACCAAATGAAAATAAGCCTAACATAGTTCTAATAACTTTAAATTTAATTTCATATTTTGTATGTACCGCATCAAATTATCTTAAATTTATTCAAAAATTTGACTACTTTAATGGTTAATTTTTGATTGAAGTTGTAAATCAGAAGAAATTCCCTTTGTAGCTCGCAAGGGTTTCAAAATGGACCAGTTTTTAGACGATTTAGATGAATTTGAAGACAACCATTTTCTCAAATCGCCTATTCTACAGCTACCAAAGCCTCCATAATAGTCAAACGCCATTACTCGGAACTTCAGAACAAATTTCCCCATGTATACACAAAACGTTAGGTTGTAGCTTACAAAATATTAGCAATTTTCTCTTTCACGTTAGACTTGAACCATTAATGCCCATTCATCCTACGAGCAGATTTTTCTTCAAATAAATGTATCATGTTATATCAATAGATTAATCGATTTCTAAGTTAGATTTCAGGTAATACTTATTTCAGGACTGATGGCATGGCTATATACAGTATATTATATAAATATATATATACTTGGAGACAGAAACGCACATTGATACAGTCTAGCATAGATTTTGACCTCATTTCAGAAGCAATTACCAGCTCTATCAAAAAATGTGATATCCATACGAATACTTTTAGCGACCATTTAATGATTTCATTAGAAATGGACATACAGTCAAGAAATAAAGGACCTGGGGCCTGGTTTTCGAAAGTATCGTAAGAAACGTCATAAGATATATCTGAAGACAAATTTTATGACTATCTTATGACTATCATACGACACGTAATAGAATGTAAATCAAAGCCGTCTTACGATAGTCATACCTGAGATGATCAGATCATAAGTGATAACATTTACTATAAAAAAATTATAGGAAATAAAATCTATAGTTATTACTTACACAATATATTCTCAACATTAAATTTTATATGAAAATGAATTAAAATCGTAGTTTGATCATTTGTTTGAATTTAGTTTGTATATTTATGATACTTTTACATTCTCGAACTCCGTGTTTATTTATTATCTTACATGATGTGTTTGTTATCTAATTGTGAATACTTTTAAGATGTGAGACATCGAGTACATGTAACCGCTTAACGAAATGCTCGTGCAAATACTTTGAGAAAGTACTAAATAAGGATAGAAATAATAATGTATTTATTTTACATAATCATGAGAAAGAGAAGAAGTCCAAATTTTACATCGCAGGAGATTCAAATTTTGATAGACGAAGTGGAGAAGAATAAGTCCTTACTTTTCAGTCGACACATCAATGTAGTAACAAACAGTGCTAAAAAGAAAACTTCATATTTGAATCGAAAACTGCTTGAACATTAATAGAATGGTAGCCTTTCTATTTATATAAAGATGTTTATCCTCTGTTGGAGCTTTTATACGTATGTGTGTACCATCAATGGCACCGACTACACTTGGAATGTCTGTTTTTTCATGAAAACCTCTCATGATGTTGCGAAGTCCAGTCTGGTCAGTTGGCATCTTTATATAGTCATTACAAACCCTCTTTAAACATGCAGTTACATCACGTGTTATTTTAGATACACTTGGTCTAGATATGTTATGGACATCAGCATTGACCATCTGAAAGCTTCCAGTTGCATAAAATCTGAGTGCAACCATGATTTGGAATGAAACTGGAAAGGCACAAGATCTTGCTGTTGGCCTTGCTGGGGCTGTTTGGAACGTTCTACATAAATCTAGTATCATTGGGCGTGAAAGTCTATATCTAGTTTCTGTCTCGAAATACTCTGTTTGGGCGTACGTTTTCAGCTTGTTGTCGAAGCATGTAAACAGCAGCCATATTCTTTTATTCACGTGATATCGAAGCTCTTATGATAATCATAAGCCAATCATAACTGTTATGATAATCATAAGATCATCTTAAGACAGGTCGAGAGGTGTCTTAAGATTACGATGACAGTTATGATTTATCGTAACTTAAAACACTTTCGAAAACCTATCTTACGACTATGGTATGTCGTAAGACCATCTTTAGACGTGTCTTAGTCGTAAGATACTTTCGAAAACCAGGCCCCTGGACTATGGATATTCAATTCAACCTTATTATGTGATCATACATTTACTTATAACATTATTAAAAATTTCGACAAGTGGAATAATGAATATCACGAAGTTAAAAACCATAGGGAGCTCTGAGATTTTATGAAGTACCAAATTAGAAATTATACAATAGCATACAGTAAAATTAAACAAAAGGTTGAGTTGATAAACGAATTGAATTCATTAAAAAATACGCTTGGCCAAATAAAATTTGATTATGAAAATTATTTAAAGGTGCGCACAACACTTGATAAAATCTACGATGAAAAAAACAATGCTTATTTTCTTGAGAAACTTAATAAAAAGAACACAACAATTTCATATATTAAAACCGAAAACAAAATCTTATTAGAACAAAAGAAAATTTTAAAATATATTTTTGATTATTATTCGGAAATTTATACGGTTAAGCAATCCCATGATAGGCTTATAAATTTGCTGAAACAAAATTCTGAATTTTCACAATGAACATTGTCCAATTATAAAGCTGACATACTTGTACATAAAATGGATTATTTTGAATGCGTTGAGACCATAAAGCTATTAAAAGATGGAAAAACCCCTGGAAACGATGGATTGACTTCAGAATTATATCGGTTTTTTCAGTCATACATAAGCACTTATATTTTAAATGTTTTTAATGAAAGTTTTGAAAATGGTTGTCTCCATGTCAAAGACAGACAATAATTAAATTGATACACAAACCAGGTAAAAATAAGTCTGCATTGTCTAACTTGAGATCCATCACCTTAATAAACGTGGATATAAATATTGCAAGTAAGATTCTATGTAACCGTCTAAAGACATTATTATCAAAATTAATAAACCTAAATCAAACTTCTTTTATCCAAAATCGCCATATACAGGAAAATATAAGATTAATAGATGACGCTTTTCAATTAGCAAAGAACAAGAAAATAATTGGCTTTCTACTGGCAATTGATTTTAGACTGACCTTTGACCGCTTAAACCATTTGCTCATGTTTGAAGCACTCAAATTTTATGGTTTTAAAAATAAATTTATAGGATGGACAGAAAACAAAATTTTTAAGGTACAACCGGAGTAAGACAGGGTGACCCTATGTCTTCAAATTTATTTAATTTGGTTATTGAGATATTATGTAAAATAATAAGAAATAATGAAAATATTCAAGGCATAAACTTTTGCGAAACGGAAATAAAACTAACAGCGTTTGCTGATGATATCACCTGCTTCCTGTGGGATTTTAAATCTGCTCGACTTATTAACGAACAGGCGAATATGGCCTTTTTTAACTTTTTGAGAAAAATGCAATTGAAGTTTAAGGTCTAATTTCGGCTGGAGAAACACTATTTTTAATGATGTTAGCCGTCATATTACTTCAATCTATGCTCCACAGGTTTAACTACAAATTTAATGTCTCCTTTGGTAAATTGGGGGCTTTGATGGGGTTCGGAAGAGGTCTAGTTATTCGTCACTTATAAATTTCAATAATTGTCAAATAATAACTTATTCGCCACTTTGTGAATAAACATCTCGCTGAAATTTGGGACCATATTATATTGGCTATTACTTAATTATGTTGTATTCGCCGTTCATTCGCCAATTTGAGGGTAAGACTTAAAAAAGGTTATTTGCATGTGTCACTATGGTTGTCAATAATAACTGCGGAGATCGTTCATCACTTTGTCGATAAGTAACAGAACTATTTTATGCAAAAATTTGGAATCAAATCAGGCGAAAGGGGTTATTCGTCGGTTTGTTAATAACTGGACAGTCAAAAACAAGTATTCGTCCACATGTTAAAAATGAATATCTCCGAAACTTTAAAAAAATACATCTTAACAACTAACACCAAACGAAAGTGCATAAAAAGTTTGATATAGGTGGCTTGCGTATGATAGATTTAGAGGAATGTATAAAATCTAAATGTGTTTTTTGGATTAAAAAACTTAATGCTGAATATGATCAAACATGGATAACAACCTATAAGATGTTCTTAAAAGATTACAATGGAATAATAGCACCCTTATGTAATTTTAGCAGAATATATACATTTTTATACATATTTGTTTGAAATTGGAGAGATATTTTTAGCAAGCACATAGATAAATACATACATTTTACATACATCAAATTATATTTAATAATAAATTTTGTACCCTTGATATTAATTATACACTTTTGAGGTTTACTGCTAGTTAAGGATTTTATGTCAATAGACAGTTTTATTTATACTAATCAAGCACACAGTATTATATTTATGATAAGAACGATATGTAATAAAATTAAATTGATGAGAAGAAACGATGATGAGGAGGACCTAATTTTTGAAACACCAATATCAATTAAATATTAAATTCAGTCTATAGAAATACATTAGCTAATATTAAACCGAAGCACATTTATGATTATAATATAAGATTAAAATGTCAAAAGCCAATTGGAATACTTAAATGAGAGGAAAAATTAGGAGAAACATTTCAGGATGATTTTCTGGCGAATGCTTTTAACAATGTAAGATGGGTATTATTACAAATTACAAAACTTTTAATTCAAATATTTATATTATATCATTCCTCTTAACTTTAAGCTTTTTAAAGAGACCACCTTATGTTCATTTGTCACAGTTGTATAGAAACTATTGAACATTTCTTTTTGCAGTGTTCGTACTCAAAAATAATTTTTGATTTGAAACTGTTAGAATTTTTGACAAGGACGACATTGATGTAAATCTCTGTCTATATACATTCATTTTGGATATCCCTGTACATATGATTTTAAAAACACAGCAGAATTTTTATTAGTGAATCATGCTAATATGCTGACAAACTATTTTCTATGCAAATCAATGCTTCGATTTCAAGTACCAACGATCAAAAATTACTATTTATACCTCCAAGACGTGGCCCAACTTAAGACTTTTAGAGCAGATGATATTATCAAAAGTAAATGGAACTATTTGTTTTGTCCAACACTTTCATCCTGTAGTGAATAATGTAATTGTATATTTGAAAATGTTAATGAAAGATGTGAAGTTACATGAGTGTGAGAGGGTGTGCATGTGTAAAATTATTGTTTGTAAATTGTATCTATAAATTATTGTTTGTAAATAATATAGTAATAAAAAAAAACAAAAAAAAACAGCACGACACAATATCTATGTTGCAAAAAATGAAACAAGAACTGGATTTCATGTCACTTAAAGCGTTTATACACCAGATCCTATACGTCAAAAGAATAGGAACAACGAAAATTGCATAGATTACACAATTTGGAATGGTACGGTACGACACAAGGCACAACGTCCTACGATTGTCACCAATTCCAATAAATTGTTTACAGACGGCTTGTACCCTCTAAACTGAATAATTTCAAAAAAACTTACGATTGTGGATTTTATTGACACTATTCTTTGAAATCCGATGAATCCCGCTCTAAGTTTTTGTAAGACCTCAAATGCTCAATACGTGTATATTATAGGACTGTAAGAACTTCTTATCATACGTCAAATTATAATTAGTAATCATCTAAGCGCAAAACTGATATGAGATTGTCCTCGGGGTAGAAATGATTGAAGTGATAGGGGGAGCGTGAATCACGAACTAAGGCCCTTTGCAGCGGATCATGACGTGGTTATGGGTCACATGCAAAAGAATGAATAATGGTACAGATTTTGTAATAGATAGGCCGGTATCTAGCTCAATAAATTTATTCAATACTGAACAGTCAGAGGGGTCAAAATTTATCATGTATTCAAACAATATAACTAAGGATAGTAATTGATACCATTTTAAAGCTAGACGGTTTCTTAAAGTATGATAGAAGTTTTATTCTTTATGGGACCCCAGAGGCTTTAAGAGAGCATACATGACACATTTGGACGAATTCAATTATTAATATACATAGGAATAAAAAACCAATAACCAATAAAAGCTAGATTGTTTCTGTATCTACAAGTGTCCCTGACCTATACGGGGACCAGATAAGTGGAGCCGATAGTGGGTAAAATATTTCATTTGATGAGGAAATCACCAAATTTAGCATGACTGTTTCTTATGAGGTACCTGAATTCACAAAGTCGTTGGCCATTCAGATGTTGACTATTACGAGACTGTCCTTTAGCCCTGTTACAACGAGACCATCACCATGTTGTTTCCCGAGATTGTGTTTGTAATGCATCAGTGAGTAACCCGTACTTCCTTCCAAATATGCCAGATTCTGCATCAAGAATACTAACAAGTGTTCAAACATCATTTATTATTACATGCAGTTATGTAACATCAACATTAATTCTTCTCAACTGTTAGAATTATCATTAATATCGGTATAGACGAGTGTATAGACGACATTTTTTCAAACAAATGTCATTTTTTGTCCTTGACTATTTTTCCGTATTTCAAAACGTCGTGGCAAGTTTCGTAAGGTAGAATAAATTTTCATTTGTCAGACGGCTTCGGCTACGGTCAGCACGTGGCTATTGAATTCATCGAGGCACGCTGATCTACACACGACCTTTCTAAATGAAAGAATGAATCGGAGGCTAAAGTTTTTACTGCACTGTACTGTAGGACCCCACCAATTTTGGGTCGCAACACATGATTTGAAGACCAGAGTCTTACGCTATAAGATGCATTGTTGTCCCACTTGTCACATCTTCATCAAGACATGATAATTGTCTCTTTGTAGATACAATAGAACATTTCTAGCATTTTTTGGCGGTTTTGTCTTCTCA